TTTTTTTTTTAGATTTTCGACAGCCCTCCATGACGTTATGAATATGCCAAAACGTGTATATCTTTTGTGAAGCACCTCTTAGTAATTTGAGTATTAATCTATGTAGAGGTCATGGAAATAGTAGAACTGATTCAGCAATAGCGGAAGTTGCTATGTTTATAGCTTTTGGATCGACCGTTTCCGGAACATCAAGTTCAAGTTTATTTTTTGAAGAAGTTACATGAATGATGTGATGGTCTGCAAACTAGTGTAGATACTTAACTATTTTTTAGCTATATTTAAAGGGTAAAATTAAATTGTGTTTATACAACTTTCATTAATTTTAAAAATTTTGTTCACATTGTCTTTTATTTTGCATGAATCAATAAAATACATTGCTTGATTTTGTTGGATAAAATTAAAATAAAGGTGTTGGTCGCGTGACTACCTATTTCTAGAATACAACCCAAGAAGAATACTATAGCCTTTCAAAAGAGGTTGTAGGGGGAACCGAGGTGTTATGTTCCTGACGTTGACCCAGAACCGTTTTTGAAATATAAAAACAAAAAATGTTTACAAAATTCGTCTAATAACATGTTATGTAATCACGTATAAGCTCTTTTAAAATCAAAATTATGGACATTTTAAATCAAAATTATGGACATTTTTTGTCCTTTGTAACCTTATTTGGCACTGCTCGCTATCTTAGACCAAGTTATTTATTGAATGTCACATAACTACACATCCATTGGTTACAACATCATSGGAGTTGACCGAGTTTTCATCGATGTCCGTCGGTTTAAAATCGGTGATGCTCGAATCATGGGCATCGACTTTCGGCTTAATAACGGAGAAGTTTGGAAGAAACTTTGTAACTTTGTATGACTTTTTTTCGTCACTATTTTTCAACTATTTTTCCTTAAAAAACAAAGTCATTTATTTTTGTAAACTTTGTGCATATTTATCTTGCATGATTTGAATTTGAGGTCTGTCCCCGAAATTGTCACAGCTGCGTAAATTTGTCTAAATGAGTCACATGATAGTACGTTTCACTAAAAAAGTCCCAGTCACGCCAACGCTATATACCAAGTTGCTGGTTTTATGACTTCTACTTTTTTTTTAAACCCTAAAACTAAAGAAACCTTCTTTCTTGGTATATTCGAGAAATGCGCTGAAACGCCATCACTGGCAAGAAACCAATGCATTCCTCTGCGTTAAATAACAAGTGTATTTGGTTTTTGTATTTTAATTACTATTTACTTGTTGAAATGGCAGCCTTTTAGCAAGGTCTGGGACTTACTTATGTTCACTTAGTCCTCCGTCTCCTTGATTGAAAACATACTTCAATATACTGCAATGTTGTTATCTCATATATATACTTTACTGATTTGAATTTATTTCTATGTAATTTGATATAAAAATAGAGAAATAAACATAAAAATTGAGGAAATATTAAAAGATAACTCCATACATTTACTACCAATGTGCAAATTACCTACCTATCACAACTGCAATTCATAGACCTAATCGCCTTACGCGTTGCAACGTACCTTATCACCCAATTCAAATCCTTTGTGAAGAAGAACTTTTGTTTCTAAGAATTCAACTGTGAAATGAAAATACAACGAACACTAAAACTTACTCCCGGGTGGTTTGAATACTCCAGTTTCGAATTCATAGCGCAAAACTGCTGCTTTATTTGACAACAGGTTCTCTTGCGCAAAGACCTTACAAACACAAAAGAGAGCACGAGAAAATGTCGTTATTACAATAGACTTGAAAATTTGCATTTTCCCCGAGTTGAGACTAACCCTGTATTCTCATGAGATCTAAGGTATGAGCCTTCTGGGAATACAGGGTTAGCCTCAACTCGGGGAAAATGTAAATTGTTACCGCTATTGTACAAGCAACATTTTGGTAAGTTCTTTGCGTAAGAGAATCTGCTGTCAAGTAAAACAGCGGTTATTCGCTTTGAATTCGAAACTGGAGTATTGGGTTGAAACGTTTATAGCAGCGCGTTAGCCCATTTAGGTCTATTTACTGCAATTATCGTATGTGTTAAAAGCTGCATCGATATATCATATTGTGGGATCCCTGTGTTTTGTTAGAGTTTCTTTCACCTAAACCTCTAAGCCATCTTGGCGAAACACTTCGATCTCGTCTGGCTGAAACCTGTACGATCCTGCAAGAAGGTTCCTTGCTTTAGTTGATCCAGCTGTGTAGCCCTTAATCAGTACATAGGTACGTCCAGGGTTCGTATAGGAGGCTGTGTTGCTACCAGCATAATTGTATATATATATGTCTAGTCCAAAGGTTGGTCCGTAGTTGATATTTCCTTCAATTGCTTTCTGCGATTTGAAAACTTTCATTTTAAATGGCTTCAAGTTATCTTTGTTTACGAATGAAAACAGGAACGAGTTGACTGATGTACTGTAACCTGAGGTATCTTTAAAAAAAGAAAACAATTATAATACGTTATTGTGAGCATAAAAAAGCTGTACCAATGTGATGGATGTTCTGTGTTAACCCCCGAATATAGCAAAGATCAAGAACTGGAATACTTACGCCAACTGACGTCTGTATAGCCACCAAATATGTATTTGTTCACTTTGATGATTGTAATAGTCGGTCCTTTACCATCGCACCTCGCGTGGAATGTTCTGCTGGCCCATCCGTGAAGTCTGCTTTGGTAGCATGGTACCCATCTTATTGGCTTGTTTGTTACTGGAGCCAGCCATCGTTTCATCAAATCATAGTAATATTTTCGACTTTTTAGTATGTTAGAATACATTGCCTGCCCTAAAAAGATATATTTATATCAGATATATTTTATTCAGTAACAGTGGCAACATGGGCACTGAGAGCAATGTTATACATTTGTTATGAGACAACATTTCCATATTTCTATTTTTAGAGTTATGTCTAGTAAATTCCAGTATGTTCTAGAATGTTCTAGTAAGCTAGTCATCTCGTTTATTTCTACCTGTGCCTTGCATTAGTTAAACAAACACTTCTTTTTAACATAATCATGATTAGACTAAGATAAATATCCATTTCATACAATACGTCTTTGTTAGCTGTTTCAAGGTTCGCATAGGATTCTAAGACATCTTCTTCCAAATAACTTAGGTTATTATCTTATAGGTTTTCCACATTAGTTTGCTTGGATTATACATGAACTTTAGCTATGTTCAAACACTAGTTGCGACTTGCGACTATCTTAGGTTTCACTTGCTAGATCTTTCAATAATGTCCAATTTTCATTAAGCTCTTTGATAAAAACATAAATTGACAACATAATGAGATTACAAGGTACTTGTTTATTTCTGTAGTAAATATAATCTGGGTTTCCCATCTAATTTTGTAGGATTCTTGCACGCAATTTGCATCGTTGTACTGTTACCGCTAAATTCAGCTAAACCCCTCCTACGAAAGAGTACACCTCGAGCGACGCCCTGTCGCCCATCGCTCGTTCAAAACCTTGTAGCTTCATTATATTGAATATTCATTTCAATATAACTTTGTAGTAAGTTAGTCCTTTATTAGAGCTACCTTCAGTCTTAATTTCATATCTGAATTCAACTTAAAACTACCTTGGGGCATAGCATTTTCGCATTCTACCCAAGTTAAACATATTATTAGTTATCCATCAAAAGTATGTCTTAGCCAATCATACTTCAATATAGTTTGCCAATAACTGTCAGTATGCACTTGTGAAAATATGCACTATAAAAAGGCAGATTGTAATTGTATAGCTCAGAGTTGAAGCTACAAGCAAAGTGTAAGGGAAGTTTTGGTGTGTTATTAAAGAACATTTGATCCAAGTACCGGCTCTTACCGAGTAAATCCCACAGATTACAAGCTCATAAAGACCCTTGTAACACATTAAACGTGACAAAAATAACATTGATATTGTTGTCTACAACAGAGTGCCCTGCTGCTTTCCGGGAGGTCATTTTTTTCAAATTCAGGGCGGATATTTACTCAAGAAATTCATCTTCTGATTTTGCATTGATTTGTTTGCTCAGCCAATTCAAATGCTTGAATTATCACGAACTGTCAACAGCAAAAACCGTAGTATAACGTTCTCTAGTAACGTATCATTTTGCATAGTAGAAATCCAAAGAAATTTGCATTTGAAACGATGATAATAATAGTGTTAAATGGGTCTCGATACTTACAAAAAGCCTAAATCTTAAATTTCATAAGGATTGAATCGCCTTGTAAATAACGTGTTTTGCTTTGTGATCCTAGGAGTGAAATATAAAACTCCCAACATTTTTTCAAGTTGTTTTGAGTTTAGTCCACATAAGACATTTACTTACATTTACACTGCGGTTTTTCAGTGGTAAAATTTCCATTCCGATCTTTCCAGTTTCCTGTGTAAGGATCACATAGGAGTTGGCGGTTTCCAATGAGCCAGTAACCGGGATTACAATTGAAAGTCAGTGTGTTGTTTGCCAGGAAATGACCTGCAATGTTTCCATTCTCAGGAGGTGCGATCTCAGGACAAAGACGACGACCTGTGAGACAGAAATTCTGATCAATAATTGAAAAGCGTTAATTTAGGTACAACTGCTGCAGAAAGATACCGTGTTCTAGATTGGCATGAGATGAAAATGCGTGGAGACAATAACGGCACGTTAGATATGAAAATGGTGGGAACTAGCGGTAAACTAGTGTGAGCTGCGTCGGTGTTTCTAATGAAACAGTTGTGTAAAAAAGATAAGTTTAACACCGTAAAAAAGTATGGGAAATAACTTACTGACGTTTCGGAAGTTAATCCTTCGACGAACATATATATGAAAAGTTAGATATGAAGAGTTACACGACGCAAAAAAATGTTTTACCAGAGAAATACAATATCGAGTTAGTAAAAACCTCAACATCTTATCTCCTGTACATACATGTGATATGAACTTTGTAAAACGTGATAGTGCAAATGAGAAAGAAAAAAGGAAAAATAACTTACATGATGGAATGGAGTTGCTCCATGCACCATTTTCCAGGCAAAGTCGGTTGGATGGTCCCACCAAGTAATAACCAGGATCACAAGTATAAAATACCATATTTCCAGCCCAGAACTCATTACCAGTGCGATAGCCATTCAGAGGTTTTCCAGGATTACCACAGCTCATTAAAGCTATAACAATAAGAAAATATTTTATGTAATTTGTAGGCCTACATTAGTCTGGTAGAATCGTTCTTGAACTTACAGACTTGTATTGTAGTTTCGTCCGTTCCATTCTCGTAGTTTCTAAAAAAGCATTTGTATTGTCCTTGGTCTTGAGGCATGAACGAATCAATGACCAACTCGCCTATAGTTTCTTTATTGGTCTGGCGAACTGTAGTGTTTACAGATAAAGGTCGGCCATCTTTGCTCCACTCGATCGTTGGCAGCGGTGATCCAGTAGCTGAACAGTTTAATTTCACGCGGCTCAAGATTTTGTACACGGTCAAGTTATTAGGAGAGGATTGGACGATGGCTGGAGCAACTAGAAATATAAAGATATGTTAAGCTTGAACAAACATTTGAAAACATTTTAGNACAAACTGGTTTACTTGATGGTTTTGACGATTTTAACTATGAGATAAATAGCAGTTCTATTAATACACCCTGCCTTTGATTTATCAATTCACAGAGGTCACAAATTTGGCGAGTCTGTCACTTGATATGTACACTATATTAGATTTCATAAGAAATGCCGGGAAACTTTCACGAATAAATTTTCGTATCATTGTCAAGTTTGGTTATAAGGTTTTTGTTTTTAGTAACTTTTACTATTAAATATTATTAATAGTCAAACCACGATCTTACAATTACTTTACTCATAAAATGGTGACTAATGCCACCGAAACATCGAGTCATGTCGTTATAAACTTTATAGTAAAAGTTTGTTTATTTCACAGAAATTGTGATGCTGTTTGCTTCTTGGTCCATGTTGACAGTCAATATATTAAAAGGCTTGACAGAATATTTTGTTCTTGTAAATGACGAATTGTTTTACACAGTGCAACAACGAAATAAGATCGTTTACATTGTATCTAAAAGTTTCGTGAAATCTCGTGTTTGTTCATTAAAAGTCATAGTGACAATTCAGAATTTCGTATACCTTTTTGGATGATCCAGAGGAGAAGATTTGCATACAGAGATCTCTGCATTTGGTACAAGCACTCGTTGGATCTCTCGAGMCATTGTTAGCCGCTCTTGGCAAGCGATTTTTATGTACGTCATCGTCTGACTCTGTTTTCTTGATTTGCTCGCATCGAACGATTCGTTCATCCAAAGTATGCACTCTGTAAGTCAAATACCCCACAGACAGTATTGTCAGGGCTAAATTCAGCAATACACCAAGCTGAAGTATACAACTCGTTTTAGATTTTCCACTGCTCTCCATGACGTTATGAATTTGCCAAAACGTGCATGTCTTTTATTTTCCACCTCTCAGTAATTTGAGTATTGATCTAAGTAGAGGTCATGGAAATAGTAGAACTGATTCAGCAATACCGGAAGTTGCTATTAGATTCCGTGAAAAAAGGAAATAAATGTAATTGAAGCTTAAAACCCTCCTATAGTTTTTGGATCGACTTTCAACGAATTGCAACGTTTCCGGAACATCAAGATCAAGTTTCGATTTTTTTTTTTTTTTGAGTTACATGAATGAAGTGTTGACCTACAAAATAGCGTATTTACTTTGATATTTTTATTTATTTATTTTTTTAAAGGGAAAAATTACATTGTTATGTTTATATGGATTAAATTATCACATGAAAAAAAGGAACTATGAAAGAATCTGAAAAAAAGAAAGAAAAGAAAAGACCGAGCGTAGCGTACGAAATCATATTTACTAGTTTGACATGAGTGCAGTTGGGGGTGGCTGTGTCAGCATAAATATCATGAAGAAGCAAAACATCAAGTAACTTGCTCTGTAAAACCTTTCTGAAATAAGAAATGACTCTACAGACTATTATTCACACAGACCACATAACAACATTATAACTATTGCCGTAATTACAAAAAAATATATACCAACATCCAACTGTTTTGAATTCTCGATCTGTCATTTTGATCTGATGTGAACAAAAAAAGAGCCAATAACTACAACTTTACTTTTCATCTAGGTATATCGTTATGTCGGTGTCTCGTCAGGTCGCCCTTATGAACCAGGTTGTGTGGCTCGAGATATACTAGCAACAGAGTTAGGATTTTCGAGTTGGATTTTCGAGTTGGATTCTCGAGTTGGATTCTCGAGTTGGATTCTCGAGTTGGATTTTCGAGTTGGATTTTCGAGTTGGATTTTCGAGTTGGATTTTCGAGTTGGATTCTCGAGTTGGATTCTCGAGTTGGATTCTCGAGTTGGATTCTCGAGTTGGATTCTCGAGATTCTCGAGGATTTTCATTTCATTTATACTATATACATAACAAAAACATATAGAGATATTAAAGCTTCATGTTGGTGTTTTATGTATATATTTTTCGCTTGAAAACGTAAAAAATGKATAACAATAAACGAAAAATTGTTTGTTTACGTTGTTATCTGCTGATCGAGGTAATTTTAGATCTGCTTTATATCATCATATGACGACAAACAGATCACCCGTGTAGGGTCGTGTAGCGCATACATTTCTCGCATACAGTTCTCGTTCGCTAATCAGTATCAATAATATGGAATACTGCAGTACTGTATATTTTTATATCATTAGATCGAGAATCCTAACTCGAAGAATAGGTATCCTCGACACACACTAACAAAAAATACCAGTCAGAAAACGGCTTCAAGTCTCTTCAAGCGCATTTAGGTTGAAATCGATGACGGATTCGACGTGTTGATGGTAGAGCAAAAAGTGATGTCACGCAATACCGTGCTGTCAATAAAAATATACCCTGCGAGCGGAGTGTTATTATTTACCTAATTCGCGATTTTTTTACCGAGGTAAGGTAAATAACACTCTACTCGCAGGGTATACGTACTTTTGATTGCTCTCACGAACATATTACTTTACGTCGGAGGAATCCAACTCGAGAATGCGCTACACGGATGATTTGTTTGTCGTCAGATTATGACAGGATATAAAGCAGATCTAGACGTTAAACAAAGATCTCAGGTACAATTTTTCGTTATTGTTATCAGTTTTCTATGAACTTCAGAGAAATACCTACATGGTTCATTCAGGCACAAATAATGGAGATATTACCACGGACATTATGCCAGATCACCTACTGACGTATTTCCCCGCACAGTGATAATCAACATAATAAAGCATCGGATTTCAAGAATATATTTCAAGGGATACGCTAAAAATATATACAAATATAAGTAGAATAAAATTAGATAAAACTTGAAGCTATAATATCTCTGTTTTATTCAATATATAATATATATAAATAAAATGAAAATCCTATACGAAAATCCAACTCGAAAATCCAACTCGAAAATCCAACTCGAAAATCCAACTCGAAAATCCAACTCGAAAATCCAACTCGAAAATCCAACTCGAGAATCCAACTCGAGAATCCTAACTCGAAGGATAGGTATCCTCGTGTGGCTCTCGCACAACGTAACAACATGATAGTATTGTAATATTCTCAGTATAGCACGAGGTGTTTGTACGGTGTCATCACTGAGATTTAATATTTCCGCGATATATAACATAACAGCTGAATTCTTGTATCGCAAACCAACGTTGCAAAGCTCAGTCTGAATTTGTGTTTTTCTGACCCGTTAATCATCTGGCGTCTGTGAAACGTAGCTGTGAACAAGCCTTTGGACTTTGACACATAAATTAAACACAATTTATAAGTTCTCCGTAATCTATAAAGTAAAAAACATAAAAAACAAATTCAACTTCAAAACAATTCAACACACATGAGAAAACTACTAAAAAAAACCTCGAACTCGTAGAATATATTTTCCATGTTTAGTACTGAAAAGTCTTGTTAAATATTACAGTTAAGAGAGGTTAAAATATTGAACTTTATTTTGAAACTGATTTTTCGTAAGCGCTAACGAGATATCTAAAACCAATCGTTAAAGTGCACATGACACCATTAGAAATTCACTCTCATCCAAAAGAGAAAATACTGCTAAGTTCATCTGTGAAGAAAGAAATTGATTTCAAATTGTATTTTGTAAGTTATGGGCGATTAAAACTCAGAAAATGCAAATGAAGTGACGTCTACTAAGGAATGATTTAATATACAAAATCATGAAAGAGGACGTCATTCTTTTTGTTACATTGGAAAAAACATTTTCAGCTCTCAATTATTACTATGATTGATGATTTGWGCTCTTCAACCAAGAACAGCATAGCGCAAACAATGTAAAAAGACTGGATCAATTCCTTAGTTGACGTCACTTCATTTGCATTTTAAATTTTCAAATGTCCATAACTCAGAAAATACAATTCAAAATCTATTTCTTTTTTCGCAGAAGTAGTTGGCAGCGTGTAAACTTTCGGATAAAAGTGTTTTTCTAAAAGTTGTCATGTGCACTTTAAAACTGGACTTCACTTGTGTTTGTATCAATTACTGGTCATATAGTACTTGTAGGCTAAGTTTACTTTCCTTCGAATTTCGTTTTCTTTTTAATTCAATACTTTTGTGTTCAATTTTTTTTTTCAAAATTTTACCAAAACAATATCTAATACAGTCAACGCTCGTCATTACGGACACCCTCGGGACCGTAATTTAGTGTCCGCTGTAGCGAGAGTCCGTAGTAGCAGGAGTTACTTTCAGTCATTTCTTTGCATTTTCCGCCTGTGATTCAGTATTTTTCTGTCCGCAATATCGAGGTGTCCGTTGTAGCGGGGTGTCTGTAAGGCAAAAGTTCACTATATTGCTTAAATATAGGATCAGCCCTCATTAGTAGTACACCGTCTGTAGGAACTTCATACAAGTATATCTTTTGGTAAAGTACAGGATATTACGTAAGCGCACGATGATACGGATTTTATGATCTTATAGAGTGTTGAAAAAATCTCTTACGAGTGACATTGCGACGGATTTTCAACACAAGAAAACAGAGAAAATAAAATCCGTATCTCCAAGCGACCATATAATATTCTGTTTATCATATAATTATCTATAAAAGAAAATTATATCTAAAAAAAACTTGTATTAACTTCCAATATATAGAGGAACAACGAATCAGTTATTTTCACTGTGAATTATTTTTACTTTACGGAAGGGAAAAACTTACTTCTAGGCACTTTTTTTCAATTTCAATTCTCAATTTTGTTCACATTTTCCTTGCATGGTTTGTAATTGAGATCCGCCACAGCCGCATAAATTTGACAAAACGTGCACTTGGTCTGATGGCAGTCACGTGATAGTACGTTTCTATAAAAAAATAGTCCTAGCTATTTCTATGTAATTTGATATTCAACGAGAGAAATAAACGCTCTAAGGAAACACTAAAAGATAACTAGTCGCTCCATACATTTACTACCAATATGAAAATTGACCACCTATCACAACTGCAATGAATAGACCTGATGGGCTTACGTGTTGTCATGTGCGTTACCACCCAATTCAAATCCTGTGGGAAAAAGAACTTTCGTTTCTAAGAATTCTACCGTGAAATGAAAACGCAACGAACAATAAAGCGTGGATTTCACTAGCGCATAAGCATAGCATAAGGACAAGCATGAGAATCATATGCGCTAGTGAGAACGGGCTCGATATAAGCATAAGACATTGAGCATGCGCACAAGCATTTTATTTCTGTACCAGGCTATGCTTATGCCTATGCAGTCCCGTTCTCACTGAGCATAAGCATGAGATAAGCATGAGATAAGCACAAGAAGATAAAGACTTGCTCGTTTTTCTTGTGCTCATGCTTATGCTTATTTTGAGCCCGTTCTCACTGGCGCATATGACTCTCGTGCTTCGTTCTTATGCCTATGCTTATGCGCTAGTGAAATCCACGCTTAATAAAACTTACTCCCGGGTGGTTTGAATTGGGTGGAAACGTTTATAGCAGCGCGTTAGCCGATTAGGTCTATTTCCTGCAAATATCGTATGTGTTAAAAGCGGCATCGATATTATGTGGGATCCCTGTGTTTTGTTAGACTGGTTTCTTTCACCTAAACCTCTAAGCCATCTTGGCGAAACACTTCGACCTCGTCTGGCTGAAACTTGTACGATCCTGCAAGAAGGTTCTTTGCTTTAGTTGATCCAAATGTGTAGCCCTTAATCAGTACATAGCTATGTCCAGGGTTCGTATAGGAGTTTGTGTTGCTACCAGCATTATTACTAATCTGTATGTCATTGCCGCCTCCAAAGATTGGTCCCCAGCCGCTATATCCCTCAATTGCATATTGTGATTTGACAACTTTCATTTTAAATGGCTTCAAGTTATCTTTGTTTACGAATGAAAACAGGAACGAGTTGACTGATGTGCTGCGAGACCCTTTGGAATCTTTAAAAAAGAAAACAATTATAATACGTTATTGTGAGCATAAAAAAGCTGTACCAGTGTGATGGATGTTCTCTGTTAACCCCCGAATATAGCAAAGATCAACAACTGGAATACTTACGCCAGCTGACGTCTGTATAGCCTCCAAATATGTATTTGTTCACTTTGATGATTATAATAGTCGGTCCTTTACCATCACAATTTGAATGGAATGTCTTACTGGCCCATCCGTGAAGTCTGCTTTGGTAGCATGGTACCCATCTTATTGGTATGTCTGTTACTGGAGCCAGCCATTCTCTCATCAAATCGTAGTAATATTTTCGACTTTTTAGGATGTTTGAAAACATTGTCTGGCCTGAAAAATTGCATATTTATTCAGTAAGAGTAGCATGGCCTTGTAGAGGGAATGCAATGCCATATATAAGCCATGACTAAAATGACATTCATACTGATGAGGTCTACAGTAGAGCGCCCTTCTGCCTTCCGGGAGTTCATTGTTCAAATTCAGGACGGACATCTATTGACTCATCAGTTGATCTTCTGATTTCTCGATGATCTTTATTGATTTGATTGCCTAATTTCAAATGCTTGAATTTTCACGACTTGTCAACAGCAGAAACCATACGGCAAGCATGCCTCTCTCTTATCATTCTGAACCGTACAAAAAAGCCTCACTGAAGAGAAAACAAGCCTGACTTTTATGGCTTATTTTAAACTTGATTAAACTACGAAAGTTTCAACTTCGCTCTTTTTGCTTAACATAGCGAAATAGGGAACTTTAGGACAGTTATTTTAAAAGGGTACTATTGCGAAAAACACCCAGAATTTGAAAATAAACCCTTTTAGCGATCTCTTTTAGGCTGTGTTAGCCTCAAAACCATGTAATAAATTCTTTTATTCACAACAGCCCGTGCAAATGCAAGAGATTCGTGAGTATAGAAGACAATGGAAATAGTTTGAAATCTCACGAGTTTTATCTACATTTYTGAATATTTTAGCACACAATTGAGGCTAACACAGCGTAAAAGAGATCGCGAAACTCGACTATTGACTACCCAAAATAACCTTAAGTCTGATAAATTAAAATAGATGTGAATAAGTAATTTACTTTTTCTAATTGTTTATAGTACTAGTATTTTGGCCTTAAAGACTTGATATTTTCACTTTGATTTCACTACACAATACGTTTGGTCATGACGCACAATTAAACTAGCTTGTAGATTGTATTTTGTCTGTAAAACTTGTTTCGTTTTATTAAACCTCCTCAGTTACAAGATTCTTCTGAGTGTACTTTTCTAACAGAGATATTTGCAGCTTGAAAACGATGAAAACAATAGTGTTGAATGAGTGTTGAAATTTATACACAAGTAAAATCTTTAAAATAGGGTTTGAACTGCCTTATAAATGTGAATAACGTGTGTTGCTCTGTGGTCCTAGGAGTGATATACAAAACTTTTTAGCAAGTTTTTCTCAATTTTCCTCATAAGACATTTACTTACTTATACACTGCGATTTTTCAGTGTTAAAACTTCCATTCCAATTTTTCCACTGTCCTGTGTTAGGATCACATAGTAGTTGGCGGTTTCCACTGAGCCAGTAACCGGGATTACAATTGAAAGTGAGAGTTCTGTTGGCCAGGAAATGACCCGCAATGTATCCATTCTCAGGAGGTGCGATCTCAGGACAAAGACGATGGCCTTTTAGAAGAGAAATTCTGATTAGTTATTGAGAAGTGTTTAATATTTAGGTACAACCGAAGCAGAAAGATACAGTTCTAGATTGACATAACTTGTGTTACTAGATAAATAACATATCGAGTAAAAAAACTCAACATCTTCTATAATTTCTCCTGCATGTACATGTGATATGAACTTTATAAAATGTTATAGTGTTGGTAAGAAAGAAGAAATAGAAGATAACTTACATGATGGCATGGAGTTGCTCCATGCACCAGTTTCCAGACAAAGTCGGTTGGATGGTCCCACTAAGTAGTAACCAGGATCACAAGTATAAAATACCATATTTCCAGCCCAGAACTCATTGCCAGTGCAATAGCCATTCAATGGTTTTCCAGGATGGGCACAGCTCATTAGTGCTATAAGAGTGGAAGGAATTCGATAATTCATCATTCATTTTGTGTCCATTATTGCCTTTGTGTTACGTGGGTATCATTAAGTTGCCTAATCAAAAATTGATTTATTTGACATTGGAAGAGTTACTTTTCATTCTTTAGTCCTTTTCCCTTTTTTCACTTTAATCTGTTCTCGATTATAAATTGCAAATGAATTGTATGAAATTGTATGCGAATGAATTATATTAAATGAGGGAATTTCTGATTGGTGGGTCAATGGATATAGTACTATTGTGGAATTGAGGATGCATAATGATGGGTTCCTTTATTCTTGTACTTACAGACTTGTATTGTAGTTTCAGCCGTTCCATTCTCGTAGTTTCTAAAAAAGCATTTGTATCGTCCTTGGTCTTGAGGCATGAACGAATCAATRACCAACTCGCCTATAGTTTCTTTATTGGTCTGGCGAACTGTAGTGTTTACAGATAAAAGTCGGCCATCTTTGCTCCACTCGATCGTTGGCAGCGGTGATCCAGTAGCTGAACAGTTTAATTTGACACGGCTCAGGATTTTGTAGACGGTCATATTATTAGGAGAGGATTGTACGATGGATGGAGCAACTGGAAATGTCAAAATCATTATTAAAACCTTCAGGACAATTCGAATATGTGTTATTCGAAATACACAATTTTATATTCTTTAATCCATCGTCTCATAGCATTATAGAGATTTATTAAGACATTCATTCGCTACTTACTAACAGAATGAACATTAAGCACTATTATAGCAAGCACATTCCCTTGGTTATTGATTCCCTTGCACATGTAGGGTCCCTTATCCTCTCTCTTTGTATTCATGATAATAAGGCTGTTACCAGATTTTACATGGCGTCCTTTAGGCATGGCTTTCTGAGCTCGTGTCCATTCGATCCGCGGAGAAGGAAATCCAAATACATTGCATGTGAAGGTTGTGTTCCAGTCTTCATAACCAGAGACGTAATGTGGAGGTAAAACCACGAATCGTGGAGCAACTATTTCAAAGACAAAGATATATTCAAGACATTCTCATGGGCGCAGACAAAAAATATTAGCAGCATCTTGCGCCTCACGAATCATTCGCTCAATTTCTTATAAAGAATGTTGTGAGAAGGGGTTTGTAAAAACCTTGTGTTTGAATTAGGGAATATAAAACGGATTTCCGTTTTTGATACTCTCATAAAAATACGCGGGATGTAGAGAGAAAAGGAGAGAAGCGTACGAAACCACGACTCCAACCTTCGAATTCAATTCACCTAACTTCACACATTCGGATGAATGAACTCGAATGCACTTCTCAGAACTGAACTTCGACTCAGTTGAATGAGAAGAAAAACATTTTTTTCACTCGATACACCCTCTAAAAACGAAATTGAAACTAAAGCGTTGTATATTTTTTCTAATCGACATTACCATTTACAACAAGTTTCATTTTCGCTGTTGCTTGACCAATGAAATTCTTTGCTTTCAATAGGTAAACCCCATGGTCTTCGAACTTGACATTGCTTATTCGTAGAGCACCAGTTGCATAGAATCGGTCGTCTACTTTCTTGTTGTCTTTGTACCACAAGATTTTAGGAATAGGGAAACCAGAGGCTTTGGACGGAATGACCACATTWTCGCCTTCTTTGGTTACAAGAACAGATGGAGGTCTTTTGGTTATTTTTGGAAGAGCTTTCAAAAAAGATTAAAAAAGTACATGAGCTTGTATACTTTACATTTATTTACTATTGAATAGTTCGTGTTGATTTAGGTTTTGTTCTTCTCAAATACCCACCAAGGGAATGGATAATCGATGAAGATTTTCCAGAGAGCGTTCTTCCTGGCATTCCCCTCGGTCCCTGCGGACCTGCTACTCCAGGTGGACCTTGTATTCCAGGAGATCCTCGAAATCCTCGTTTACCACGTCTTCCTCTTTGCCCGCTTGGTCCTTTCGGCCCTTGTGGACCCGGTGCTCCGGTCGGACCTTGAATTGTTTAATAGAAAATCTCTCTTCACAAATTAAAAATCAGTACACAAATTGTTGTAATATTAAAGAAAAGTTCCTACCTCTGACACAAACTGGTTTACTTGATGGTTTTGACGATTTTAACTATGAGATAAATAGCAGTTCTATTAATACACCCTGCCTTTGATTTATCAATTCACAGAGGTCACAAATTTGGCGAGTCTGTCACTTGATATGTACACTATATTAGGTTTCATTAGAAATGTCTGGAAACTTTCACGAATATGATTTTCGTATCATGGTCAAGTTTGGTTATAAGGTGTTTGTTCTTAGTAACTTTTACTATTAAATATTATTACATGGGCTTCCAAAGGAAGACCATGTCTTAAATTACCGACGTTTTTCGTCTGTGGTGTGCTTCAAATTATATCCGGGACCTTTCCATTTTTGACATCTATTGTCTTACTGTCATTCATGTTTCTAAGCAACGATTCAAACGTCCTCGTGCTTCTTCGGACCGTCGTAAATCCGGCAAAGTTTTGAGATCGAACATGTAGAACGCTAGATTCTTTTACAAATCCACACACCATTCGCGGCATAGACACACTAAAAAAAAATTCGAATGTTTCTCAAAAGGGCATTTGGAGAGATACGGCGAATTTATCATGAACTAACCGATCGTGAATTAATATCTATCAACATTAACTTATCAAAAGCAAACTTATACTAGTATCGGCTGTACAATCACCAAGGACTTATCTAAGACATGTCAATAGATTTATACTGAGGAAAAACAGAGGATTGGAAGTATTTTAAGCGAAGAACATGAAATACTATCGATGTGTTTAATACAGCCAAGGATGCGACTCTTAAAGTAAGGGCTCGTCAGACATAAATTACTTCTTTCACAATATTATTAAATTCTACTAAGTACATTGCTTGTTTGATTATTTTTCATTAAAGGAAATCTTTTTTTGCTGTTGTATTAGTAATATTAATTTCATTAGGGTTCAACATTTACTGATTGGGATAAACCACAGGAAGCCCATGTAAACGATCGCTGATCGTCTAGTTAATAATCAAACCACGATCTTACAATTACTTCACTCTTGAAAATGGTGACTCATGCCACTGAAACGTCGAGTCTTGTCGTTATAAACATTATAGTAAAAGCTTGTTTATTTCACAGAAATTGTGTTTCTGTTTGCTTCTTGGTCCATGTTGAGAATCAATATCATATTAAAAGACTTGACATAATATTTTGTTCTTGTAAATGACGAATTGTTTTGCACAGTGCAAAAACGACATAAGATCGTTTACATTGTATCCAAATATATCGTGAAATGTCGTGTTTGTTCATTAAAAGTCATATTACGACAATGCAGAATTGCGTATACCTTTTTGGATGATCCAAACGAGAAGATTTGTGTACAGAGATCTCTGCATTTGGTACAAGCACTCGTTGGATCTCTCGAGCCATTGTTAGCCGCTCTTGGCAAGCGATTTTTATGTACATCAGCGTCTGACTCTGTTTTCTTGATTTGCTCGCATCGAACGATTCGTTCATCCAAAGTATGCACTCTGTAAGTCAAATACCCCACAGACAGTATTGTCAGTGCTAAATTCAGCAATACACCAAGCTGAAGTATACAACTCGTTTTAGATTTTCCACTGCCCTCCATGACGTTATGAATATGCCAAAACGTGTATATCTTTTGTGTTCGAAGCACCTCTTAGTAATTTGAGTATTAATCTAAGTAGAGGTCATGGAAATAGCAGAACTGATTCAGAAATAACGAAAGTTGCTATTAGATTCCGTGAAAAATTAAGGAAATAAATTTAATTTAAAGGGGTACTTGGACGTAATGTATGGCCGTTTTTGAAAAACCTGTAATATTACGTCTTAGCCGCTGAAACTTTCTCAACATAAAGATAAATAAACAAGAAATCACTCTGTAAAGTTTCATTTCGATATTTCAATGGGAAGTATGACATATTTACGATTTAGTTTTCGTCCGCCATTATTTTCTCTGATCATCGA